CAAAAATCACTAGATCCAACTAGTAAGCACAAAAAAGGAAAAATACAAGAAATTAAGAAAATGGCAGGAAAAATGACACTCCTCTATAATAACCCTAAATATTAATGGACTCAATTCTCCAATCAAAAGAAGAATAGTATATTGGATTAAAAATAAAATCCAGCCATTGTTTGTATTCTGTTTTGGGTTATTTTTTAATTGATTAAAGCTTCCACTAACTATATGTCTTTTAATATATTTACCTGTATGTCACATATAATGAATAAAAGATATTAACCTCTGATCTTAGATAAAAGAGTTCAGATTTACACATTTGCAGAAAATAACATACCTTTAAAAATAAAGAACCATTAAGAATGTCATAAAGGCTGTCAAGCTAACTTATAATAGAAAATAGCCTTATTTCAAAAGCAGCAGCAGCAGCAGCAGCACAGTCCCAAACACAAGGGCTTTCTTTCCTCCACATCCCGCAAAAAAATGAGTTAATTAATTAAAAAAAGAAATTAATTGGCAAGAGGTTCTTTTCTAATTTATTTTTTGCATAAAAATAGCAAAATGTATACATAATTTTACTAGAGTTCATTTTTTTATTTCACTAAGATTAGATTTATTTCTAGAGAGAAAACATAAGGAGGAAGGGACAGTTCTTGCCTAGCAAGCTTGAGGCTTTGAGTTTAAATCCTCAGTATTAGAAAACTAACAACCACAGAGCATCAAATCAAACAATCTCAAGGTTAGATGCACTAAAGTTGCAGGAAAGGGATGGCCTGCGTAGCCAGGCTGGGGTCTCCCCTTGAAGGAAAGGGCTGATATTCACCCCTTCTAATCATCTACCCTACCTTGACTGAGAAATGGAGATGGAGCTGATCAGACCCTGGCACGGCCACAAGCACAAAGCTGACTGAGTAGATGTAGGAAAAGCCACTCACACTTTTATAAATGACTTCTGCTTCTATCTTTAACTCTCAGAAATCCTATTAAATGTTCAGACTACAGTACACAGTCTTCAGTCTTTTTTTTCTTTTTGGGTCCGGTCGTGGGGCCTGAACTCTGGGTCTGGTGGCTGTCCCTCAGCTCTTCAGCTCAAGGCTAGTGCTCTACCACTTGAGCCACAGCGCCACTTCCGGCTTTTTTCTTTTTGCTTATGTGGTGCTGAGGAATCGAACCCAGGGCTTCGAGCATGCAAGGCAAGCACTCTACCACTGAGCCACCTTCCCAGCCCCACATTCTTCAGTCTTATCACTACTTCTCATCTGTTAAAAAGAAATGGATTTTATTGGCCTAATTATATGTACACTGCTATCATATCTTTGACCTCAAATCTATCTTGTCAAGTATGTCTTAACATGCCATACTTTTTATAGTCTGTTGCTCAACATTAGAACTTAGTTCTTTTTTAAGGCATATTAAATAGTAAAAAGTTATTAGAACTGGAAATAAGCATCAGGAAGAACACTATGTCTTTCATGCTAAAAAAGAAAAATGGACCAACATAGTGGTCCTAAAATGTCATTAACAATACAAGTAAGGGCCCGGTGCCGGTGGCTGATACCTGTAATCCTAGCTACTAAGGAGACTGAGAGCTGACAATGGTGGTTGGAAGCCAGCCCATGGACTTTCCTGCTGGGAAAGACTCTTGTCACCAATAAACTACTCAGAAAAAGATGGTGCTAGTGCTCAAGTGGTAGAGCATCAGCTTTGAGCTTAAGAAGCTCAGAGACAGCATCCAGGGCTTGAGGTCAAGCCCCAGGACTGGCACACAAAAAAATTTTAAAAACCAAAAACCTAAACCAAACCAAACCAAAAAACCACCAAGAATACTAGTAAATATAACATTTGGAAGATAGGGCATGAACTTCTTTTGCTCATAGGGAACAATACAGATGTATAATGAAGGTGTTAAAGGAGCCAACCTGGAACCAGATAGCCAATGACTGACAAACTGTGTTCCCTAGGACAGTTAATTAAATTCTGTGGCCCTTGTTTCCTCATTTAAGGGGCAAAGAAGTAATCTCATAAGGTTGTGAAATACTAACGATACTGGTGAGCCATGTGGAACAATTCAATAAGCACCCTTGCCATTCTATCTCCTAATACTTAAGGTATCTGATGAAGAGCAATCCACTTAGGAAATGGGGACAGGCTCTTCTGTGTCATATAGTACAAGTACTTAAGCCATACTGGATAGTTGCTTTCAATAATTATATCAGGAGACATGAAAGCAAAAGTTTAACTACACTCATCCAAGGCAACCAGTCTTCAGTTTATAGACTCATGCCTTTTATTAACTCCTATTTGAAAAGAATGTTTCTAAAAGCACAGTTGATGCTCCAAGACAAGCTGACACACAACCATCTGAGACAATAAAATACATTTGAAGATGATAGAACAAGATTAGTCATCTCTTGGTATCAAAGGGGGACTTGTTCAAGATCTGCAAATACCCAAAGGAACAGATAGTCAAGTCCCTTCTGTAAAATAGCATTGAATCCACATATAACCTAGACATATTCTCCTGTGTGCTTCTTCTCTAGAACACCTCATATAACATAAATGCTGTTGTAAATAGCTATCATATTGTATTGTTCAGAGAGGAAAAGTCTGTACATGTACAATATAGATGCAATTCTCCCCCTAAATACTATGACATACAATGGATTGAATCAGTGGGTAAGGAGGACATAAAGAACCAACATAAAGCTTTCATTCAGTGTTGCTATGAGCAGTGGTTTCTAACTACTGGAGATTTAAAACACATATATACATACATACATACATACACACACATACATACATACACACACACGTAATCCAACCATAGAGATGCTGATTTTGTAAGCATCTCATTTTTATAAAAGCTGCAGATGGTATCTAGGTGCACTTGCAGATAAGAAATCTTTTTAATTTTGAAGCATTCAACTCTGGATACAATGAAAATTCAAAGCAGTTATATTCCCAAATGTACTCCCAGCAATCTCATAAGCAGGATTTTCCTCTAAAATTATCTGGCAAATGCCAAGACATGGTTTTATTATACATGTCCAAAGCATATTTTCAAATGACTCTGCATTAACAGGTAAAAGGGAAGGCAAAAGAACAGAGACCTCATGGCTAACCCCAACATCATAGAAGAAAGGATGCCCTCTGGTCTCTAGGGTCTCTGGTCTCCCACTCGCTTCTAGCTTGGCATCCATAATTGCTTTCACCCAGCACAAGACCCTAGAAGGTAGGAAGAGTGGCTACCTGCACTTATCACCCTGGGTCTCAACTGTATTTTAACTGTGGTTAATGTGCAAACAGAGGAGTCAGCAGGGACAATGAAGAGGCAACTGGTCTTTTGGAGGGAGCAATGCACAGTAAGTTCCCTCTTATTCATTCCTCACCTTTACTTGTCAAAGCAACTTTACTCGAACAATGATAAGATAGCTTAAAATTGGACACTAAGTTATGTATCATAGACAAGAATTCTAATATTAAAGACTTTTTTCATGCTTTCCAACAGAACTATTATTCTGGAAAACTGACACAAATGACACGGACTAGTATCTTCTGAGCACTCAGTTCTAACAGTGCTTCAATGCACTACTGAAGTAAACATTTCTTGGTCATACATGGTGTAAAGACTCTCCTTTCTCACAGCCTCTCTCCAGAACTCAGCACTTTCCCTCTTCTCCAAATACCAGTCATGAATTACCCTCTTCACACATGTTCTAAACAAGAGCAAAGTGCCACTGATTGCTAAGGTATCCATTTCATGCATAATTTCATAAGTTTTATAGAGTTGTCTTAGGGTCAAGAGAATAAGGTTTTGTTTTGTGGTTTTTTTTTAATCAAAGTATTTTTAATACACCTATTAACTTTTTACTACAATTAGGAGCATGAAGACAGCAGGATTACCCTACTAGGCTAATGATCCTATTCAACCAGGATGAGAGTCCTTCAGAAAACCTCAAACAATACCTGGCTACAACCAGGAGCTTAGGTTCATTATTTGAGACAAAGGCTTTCTCTGGCTCTAACACCCTCTTGAACCAATGACGTACTATTGAACCTATAACCAATGTTTTTTTATATGTCTGACCAAATGCTGAATAGCCTTTGTAGTCTCCTGTGAAAGGCCTGCTGGCTAAGACTGTCCACCGTGGGCCCTTAGGAAGCACAATGAACATCCAGATGTCTGACATCAGCATGACTAGACAAGTGGGAGTTCCAAAAATCTGAATCTTCAGCTTAGGCATAAGTGACTACCAGTTACTCATCAGCTTCAATACACCTTCACTATGCAGTGATTAAGGAAGGCCAGTGTGATCTCACCAATTATTTCTGTTGCTTTACCAGCCACTCTGAATTCATTTTATTGTCTAAATAGTTGTATCCATCACCAGAGAGATCACTACCATACACATTTAAAACCAGTCATTTGGGTATGTCTAGAATTATCCTATAAACAACTGGTCAACACACAGCAGTATTGTGTTACTGGGACTTCTTGAATCAACCCAATACTTATTTAATTGTAATGACTAGGAAGAAGAGATTACACAAATAAATCTAACAGAGATTCAGGGAAAAAACAAAAACAATCTAAATCCTATCATGACTTGAGAAGGCCCATTACAGGCAATTGTGAAGCTAAGGAATAAAAAACATGACCAACCTAATCTTTAACTTTCTGCTACAAACAATCCTGAAAAATTCCAATGTGCATACATCATTTGCTTAGCAAACATTCATTTGAATGTCAGCAACTTTCACTGACAATTATTATCAACTCTCTTTAAAAGGAATCTATAATTTTTTCTTGGACTTTGTGAGTTCTCTTAGGAATTGGAGGGACATTGCTAATTCTGGTTCAATTACTTCTTTTCTTGAAAGTACTAGTATGAGAGTATTTACACATGCAAAATCATATATATGTATTTTGTTATGGGGCACAGAGTTCCATTAAATTATACAATGCCAATTCATCAATCAAATAATATTTGAAGAAGAATGCATACCTGCTCTTTGGATGGCACAAGGAGTTCTTCAATCATCATGCTGTCCCGTGCATAGGAGCTTCTGTTCAAGGTGTAAGACCTATCCGAACTGAAGGAGCGGAGGCTGTTGTATTTACAGTTAACCATTCAACAGTGGTGGATGATGATGATGAGATGGATAAAAGAAAATTAATGCATGCAACTTTAAATAACAGGCAAGATGGCTAGAAATATTAACAAATGTGTCCAGAAATACAGAAATGAAATTCTTTATATTGGGAAAATGTCTTGAGTACCTATGACCTCACGAGCAGGTCTTATTTCAAATGAAGCCAATTGGTCTGAGATGAAATGCATGGAAACTTTGGATGTTTACTATAAAGCTAAAGGAAAATGGCATTGAGAAAAATGTCTAGGTAATTGTTAACATGTGAAGTAACAGAGGGTAAAACCTTTTGGTAGAGTTTCTTCTCTTTTTGGTCCCGGTTAGCTTTCCTTGAACAATGGAATGGGATTATGGGAGTGTGTAATAGGTCTTTGGGAACTAGTGCTGGGTTTAGAATATGGAGAGCTCTGTCTGTAGTTGTTACTTCTCATGGACATTATCAACAAGGAAGACATGTTTTGAATATTCCAGCATGATCCTCTTTGATATCATTCTGGCCTCAAGGAGACATTCCAATATCCTATCTGGTTATTTTTTTTTTGTCTCTCCTGCTTTCTACTCTTTTCCTCCTCACTCCTTTCACTGCTTTCCTTGCCAGCCACTTCCAAATCACACCTGCAGTCCTTTAGCTTTCCAGAGTTACAGCTCTCCAGAGGTCCAGAAGTGCCATTTAACCACATTGACTTGGAAACTAAAAGCCATTAGAGAAATAGACTATAGGATTACAGCTCTACCACATCCCTTGGTTACTTTGCATACATCTACATAGGTCATGCAAAGGTCAATTAATTACAATTAATCTTAGTCTTGGATTAATGCCTCAAGATTTTCCCTGAACAGGGAGAGGATGAAGACTGGTGAGGAACTGCTCCCAGGCCAATCTCTTTTATAACTTTTTATCCCCTCCTCTTTTCTGATGAATTATGAGACTTTTTATCTTGTCCTTTTGGAATTGAGATATAAAATAGAAAGTGGCTTCAATGGAGTCTAGAACTGGCTTCTTAGCAATAGGGCATGCCACAGCTGGTATTATTAATCAATTTCAAGGCCTTGAGATTGTCTTTGGTGGAGGGACAAGGGCCATTAGAAACTAACACTTTTTGTTTCTTCTTCTCACTGCCTACATAAATAATAAACTGCCTAGATTAAATGTGTCATATCATGGCTTTACCACTTAAACCATGGTGCTAGCCTTGTCTTACATATGGTTGAAAAGTGCAAAGAAGAGTTCAATAGGCAATGATTTCTTGCTTTGTACAAAACTGTTTCTTTTTTTCACTGCTTACTGCTCTAAAGATAACCTAAAGATGGGCATCCTTCTGTTAATGTTCTGCTATTCTACGCATCATTATAAGTGTAGACACTTAGAATAATACATTCTTCAAGGGTTGGAGCCTTAGTTTTCATCAGAATCTTAGAATGACCTCTTGAATGAAAAATAACCATCATTATACTACTAAGAGTATTACCTCTCCCCACAAGGCTTTACCCTTGGCACCATCAACTATGATTCTTCCTTCTGGCCCTTGTTCCAGTGGCAAGCTTGTTTCTTTTAGTCTCTTACCTACTCTCAAATACAGTGGAAGCTTTCTAAAAGCAAGAATTCTTCATAATTTAACAATGTACAATAGAACTTTGTGCTACAATAGAAATATGCTAAACTTATGCCATCCAATATCTGAGTACTTGAAGTGTGGCTAATATGGCTGAACAGCAATTTTAACTACTTTGGACATAAGTAGCCTTATGGGGAAGATGGCTATGCTACTAACACAGTATGTTTCCAAGTATGCCTAGCTCAGTTTCACTTTGTTCAATTGATATGATTTGAGAGGCAAAGGGAGGCTCAACTCTGCCCTGGACATGCTTTTCTTGAACTGATGATTCCCATCAGTGTAACACTCATAGCACACGAGACAGCCTTTTTGTATAACTGGACTAGAACTCTAAAAAATTTAAATATTCATGTCAGCTTCAATATATACAATTCTACTTTAAAACATCTATATGGAATATCTATAGTTTAAAAAGTATCTGCAATTAAAATACTTTTTAGACCTAGTTTTCAACTACATCTAAGATCTGTTGATAGTTTTCCAACACTTTCTCTCAGGACCCGTGTGCTATCTCTTAGCTTTTTCAATCAGGGCTGGCACTCTAACCACTCAAGCCACAGCTTTACTTCTAGCTTCTTGATGGTTAATTGGAGATAAGAGTCTTATGGACTTATATGCCTGGGCTGGCTTTGAACCACAATCCTAAAATCTCAGTCTCCTGAGTAGCTAGGATGACAAGTATGAGCCACTCATGCCTGCCTGACTTTCCTTTTTTCCATATGAGTGACAACTGCAGAACAGAGCTCAGAAATGGGAATGATGGACAGAAAGGTATAAAGTTGTATTCATTTGGAATGATATCTAAAGAGTCTCTTCCCGATCATCCCAAACCATCCTTTGGTATTAAGGCAGAATCTATGAAAGCTAACCAGCTTCAACGTGAATCCTAATATGGTGGCATATTTTCAGGTACTAAAATGATTGGTTATTTGCTTGGGGTGTGTTGCAAGTATTAAAGTAGGTTTTTAACTAGGGTCAACTAAATTATTTGTAGCCATCAGAGTTAGAAAAGGGAAGTATTAGAACACATGCCTCAAAATTCTAAAATTATACTACTAGTCTACCTAGCACAACTCAAATGAAAAAGAGCAACCAGCACACAGACATCCCTTTTGCTTTAACCCCAACGAAACTTGCTAAGTTATTTCATGCACTATACAAAGTTTAAGGGAGAGAAGTTCCTAGGTTTTCAATCCCTTTTAAATAAGTACTATTTCTTTTTCATATACATTGTTGCTTGCTAATTTTCTCAACCACAAACTTGATTTCTAAAGCTGAGCAGAAAAAAAAAAGCACACTGTAGCACATCAAAGCACATGACAACATCGAGGAAAATAAAAATGAGCCAGGGAAGGGCATAGGCATATGGAAAAAGCACCATGTCTTCTTACCTTATCTTGGGACTATTAAAAAAAATGTTTAAAGAAAAAAAAAAACAGGAGAAATAGAATGCAAAAAATCAGACAGGAAAAAAAAAGAAAAAAATGTTATGGTTGAATGAGTTACACAATTAATGTATTCTTTTTTTTAAATGTTACACTCAGAATAATTTACTTGATAATACTCTTAATGTGCTTTACAAATAACTGGCTTTATAGTTTTAAATATATATTTGCCTCTGAGCATAACATGAATTGCCAACATAAAAAAATAAAAAGACTTCCACAGAATAGCAACAAACAATGGTGCAACCAAATTAGAAGTGTCATAACCTTGAAATATCTTCAGAAAAAAATTCTAAAAGGTAGTATGTTGTTTTCATATCTCACCGAGTACCAGCTGCTATAATTTTCCACATGTATCAGATGACTGATTTACAGAATGTGAGGAAGAAAAGGCAACTAATTATTGGATTATAAAAGCTAGCAAGATATAAATAGATGTAAAGAATCTTGGAATCCTTTAAAATTCTGCATCCTCTCCATTATAACTTGTTGCTATCTGCCATTACCTGAAACACATTAAGTTATTTTTCCTCTTCTTCCTAATGACACCTGCTACAATAAGACTTAAAGGCCTTTCAAAGAAATGTATTTATAAAGAATGAGTTTCACTAAGTTATATGAGATCCAAAACTATGTACAAAAGACTAACTCAAAGAAAATCATTTCAGTATCTAAACTGGACCAACCAACCACACAGCGAATAAACTCCAAGATTTACTTTGTGGGAAGTGCCTTCACTATTAGACAATGAAACTTTTTACAACAGATTCTTAAACTATAGGAAAATGTCCTCAGGGTTTGGGCTTAGAAGGTTTAATTATTAGCTTTAAAATAACTTTACTGTCAGCAAACACTTTGTTAATCCACACCAGAAAAAGAAGTCTCCAAATTCTGGACAAGGTCCTGTTTCTTTCAAACAGTGTAAGAAAAGTTTGAGTCAAGGTTTTCCATGTACAAAAGTTTTATGCTTCAGTTGTAAGGAGTGAATGTACCACCAGGCCCAGTCTGTGACTTTGGTGTTTCTGTTGCTTGCTTACTAGATCTCTTTGCAAGCAAACTAACGGCACAGTTTCACAAGAGATTGTCTACACAACCTTAATAAACACACTTTTATTCATGAGTGTGCTCTTCTATGTCTCACTCATGAATTCTTTCTGTAACAGAAAACATTCATATGTGCATTTTCTACTTCTTTACCAATACGATTTTCTTTCCATACAGAGCACACTTTGATTTTGAAACACGTGACTCAGCTTTGACAAGGGAACTCATTTTTTTTTGTTACTACGCTTGAAGCATGACTATAAAGTGGGAGAAAGAAAAGACAAACAAATGATTAACACTTTTGATCATGTGAAATTAAGGACTGAAATCCACAAGAAAACAGCAGAGCACAATCTGTTGGAGCCCAACTCACCTAATTCACATTCTCATTTAAAGAACACGTTCTGGGATCATGTGGAAAATGAAAATGATGCTGGTTTGTGACAGATCATGGTTGTTTTACATTGAATATGGCAAACAGCAACGGTGAGTTACCTGGCAGAACGGGCTCCAAGGCTGAAGCCCATGTATCCTTCTGCAGGCAGGGAATCGTCACCCAGTTCCTTCAGGTCCTGTGGCCCCAGATATTTGTCAGTGTCCCCAGTCAGTGCATCTTCACCTGCAGGGGTACAGAGAAAGGCATGACAGGAAGCCTTTCTTTTAACTGAAGGGTCACTTTGCTGTGGAGAAAATGCTTTGATCACTAGCAAATCACCCAGTTTCCATGTCATCTTCCCTAAGCTCCTGGGTAATGTTATTTTTTTTTTTTTAATCACTGCCACATAGAAGGGAAAAAGTATAGGTAAAAGTTAGTGCAAATTCAAGGGTGAATTTAAGGAACATATTCAGTACCAGTTTTAAAATAACTCCCCTCATCCTTTCCTCCCCTTTAAGCTCCAGCTGACTAGAAAGATCTTTCTTTGTCAGTTGGTTTTTTTGCCCCCCTCACCCTTGATGAAGGCAGCTTGTTTGAATGGACATGGATTGTAAAAATAAGACCTCTCTGTTCATGACTGTGCTTAAGATTCTATGTGGGAAGGGAACACATTTTGAAAACAGTTTCCTTCTAGGATTTCAATTTGGGGCTTTTGTAAGAAACTAACAAGTTATTTATGCGAGCTCTAACTGCTCACTGGGCAACCGTGGAACACACAAATGTTGAACTGCTTTAAAATCTATCAAATTAACAATTTAGGCCAGCTGTCCCCAAGCACTGAAACTCCTGGGGAGCAACTCTGCTTTCTGCAGAGATAAAATGAGGGCTTCCCTAGTTTGAAAGGAGAACTATATAAAGCATTCCTTATCAACACAAAGAGTTAATCACATAAACTGCTTTTACTAGCTACACAAGCCTAATATGACCTCACAGGGAAAACAACATTCCTAGAGTGACGGGGCAGGTTTTTCCGATTGTCTTCTGCCCTCTGGGAAGTTTTCAGTCCTTCTCAAAATGCAGCAGAAGCTGGGGGAGAGTTCCACCCATCCATCCATACATACACACACACACACAGACAAATTCTCTCAGTACTTTTATTCCCTTCTGGACACAGAAAGAGTTTCAAATGAACCTAATGGCTGCATTTTCTCCAAAATAAGTGATTTATCTGCCCAGTTTTTCCTCCATTCAGTCAAATTCACAATTTCCATTCATTTAAACTCAGGAAACCAGGAGAGTTCAACTTTTGAACAACCAATCAAGTTTAAAAACACAAAACACACCACTACACGATCAACTACTGGTAGTTTTTTTTCCCCCCCCAAATGTAAAAACTAAACAGATCAACTTGCTACTGCTACCCAGAAAGACCAGATTATTTTAAGTAGCTATTTACAGCTGGATTATCTGTGCGTGCACTCTAAAACAAACCCAGCACGCCACCCAAGCACAACTTTAAAGATCTTACTCTTTGGTAAAGCCATTTTCACCAGGATGGGCTGATCAAATGTTTCCCAGAGGTTTCCAGGAATTCCTTACGTAGTGATTTAGAGACCCAACCTCTAAACCAGACCCAGCAAACCAATCCCTGGACAGGAAGGAGCCACTGAGTTCACCACAGTTGCAGAGATGTCCTCAGCCTCTTGATCTTGCAGTAGACAACAGGGGAATTACACATCTTTTCCCTCACTCAGCAGAGTTCGAAGATTTTTCAAATTTTCAGAGCAAAAAAAAAAAAAAAAATCTGGCAAAGCTTGACATTAAAAGCCTTTGGATCACTTTAGAGACATCCTTTTAAAGCGCCTTCTGATTGGATTAAGAACTCCTCTGGCAAGCCTCTCGCAGGACCGACTGGTGACCGAGATGCAAGCCCGGGAGTTATTTGTATGTAAATATGTGGATCACTGGGGTGTAGACTTTCCGTAATTTGATACCCGGGCTCTGTGGTCACTGCAGGGGTAACTGAGACCGCCTTACACGGAGTGTGAAAGCTGGGGGTGTTGAGCGTAATCCAGAGGCGACTCCTCTCAAATATGAATGAAGAAAAAACTGCCAACTGCCAACATAGGTAGAGGACAAACAGTAGAGGAAAGCAAAGAAGTGGCCCGGGCGGGGAGTGGCTGGGAGCTGCAGGCAAACTTTCAACTTTGTTCTCAGCTGGGAACACCGGGAGCCTGGGTTATTTATGGTCCCTGTCAGGTGGACAGAGGGGAGGGAGAAAGAGAGAGAGGGAGGGCCTGTCCTTGACTGGAGATTGTGAAATCCTGGGGCCCAGAGAAGCTGCCCTGACTCCCAGAACTCTCCAAGACTTGCTGAAGTTCCCTTCTCCCCTGGCGCCTCCTGGGAGTCGGAGGAAAGGTGTCTGAACTACGGGGTGTCCCTCTCAGCGGGGTCCTGGGAAAGGATGGCTGGGAGGAAAGGCCTTTGTTGCTGGGAGTGGAGAGGCAAGATCTAGGGTCCAGGCAGCCACTTTCCTCTTACACCAACTCCTCTCTAAACTCAAGGCCTCTCTCCTAGGTGGTTATACCTTGTTTATTTTGGCAATGAGAAAAAGAAAAAACCTACTGGGGCTTATGCATTGTCTGTCTGGGTACATAGGTGAATGGCCTTTCCCTGCACCTCAGTGCTCTTCTCCCTCACAGTTGGAGAATATGGCTAGGAAAGGAACAAAGGCTTTTTGAAACTTCCATGCTGAAGTTGGCCATTAGATGCACCTAATGCCTTCGGGTGGCTGCTGAACTATCCAGCGAATTGAATCTGATGAAGTGGGGGACAAAATGTATCACAAATAAACAGAAGACTCCCGCATTATCAAGATGACCTGACAAGTCTGCTCAGCTGGGCTAGGAACACTGTCTATCTAAGGGAAGTCACTTATAACACTGGATCAAAATACGGAATACTATTCCCAAGCAGAAAAGCAATTTTCCAGCTGGCACTAGTCTGGGGTTCCCCCCCCAACCCCCGCATTTGAAAAACAGAACCCAAACTAACAAAGTCTTGCTTGAAGACTTACCATTCACTCAAACTCTCCAACAAGGCCTGGGCTGCATGGCCCCTTCCTGTGGAGTTCTTGTCAACTCTGGCCATCCTTCCACACCCACCGTCCCCTCCCCTCAGAGAATTATTTCAGTTCCTCTAATTCCTTAAACTTTTCGACTTTGAGCCTTTAAGAAGGGTGCACCTTCAGGAAGGAAAATTTTCCCTTTCTTTGCTACCGGCTAATGGCTAATTTCTCCAGTCCTTGTGTCTTCTGAGATGGTCTCTGGCTTCCCATTCAGCATGTGGGGTGGATATAAATCACCTTCTTAGTCTCTCCCATTGTCTAACAAGATGGCCTCTTTTTTTCTTGGACCAGGCATATTGGCAGCACACTATAAATACTTAGGGAATTTATGGTTTGAATAAGATATTGGTTTTATTTGTTTTTTTATTTGTTTGTTTGTTTTTAAATCTCCAAGCCACAGTTATTTGGCACTTTTCAAATTAAGCTTATGATCAACATACTAAGTTTCAATGAAAGTACATTTCTATTATTCTTTACCTATCCTTCTAGGATTTCTGAATGGTTACCAAAAGAAGTCCTGGTCAAAGTTGTATATACATTTGACCAAAGAGTAAGTAAAATCAAATAACCTGATGATGGGAAGTAATTATGTGCTATTTTGCAGTAGTAAAACTACTTCTCACAGAATTTAGAAATAAAGACAAGGCTAAGTGGGCACTGGTGGCTCACGCCTATAATCCTAGTTACTCAGGAGGCTGAGATCTGAGGATCCTGCTTCAAAGCCAGCCCTGGCAGGAAAGTCTGTGAGACTCTTACCTTCTATTAACCACCAGAAAAACAAAGTGGTGCTGTGGCTTAAGTGGTAGAGCATTCACTTTGAGCTAAAGAGCTTAGGGACAGTGCCCAGGACCACAGTTCAAGCCCCACAACCGACCAAAAAAAAAGACAATGTTATAATTTTAAGGCAGTTTTGAGAAGTATATGTGCTAGATTCAAATCCAAGCTCTCCCACTTTTTTCTTTTCTTTTCTTTTCTTTTCGGTGCAGGTACAGAAACAAGAATTCATAAGCTTACGCTTGCTTGAGTTTTTTCCACCCACTCATTTGTTCACAGCTGGCACCTACTAGTTGAGCCATAACCTCCAGTTCCAGCTTTTTGCTGGATTTTTTGAGACTCTTGAAAACAAGAGTCTCATGAACGTTTTAGCCTAGGCTGGCTTTGAACCATCATCCATAGATCTTCACCTGCTGAATAGCTTGGTTTACAAGCATGAGCCACCATTGCTCGACCTTTGAAATGTTACTTAATTGCTTTGAGTCATAGATTCAACTTTTATAAAACTCGGGTGTGGTAGTTCATTGAAGGACAGAGAGGCCAGAGGATTTTGAGTGTGAGGCTAGTCTGGGCTCCAGAGTCTCAGTAAACAAACAACAAACTCCACTGCTACCAGCAACAACAACAAACTGGGATAGTAAGGCTGCCTTTATCTAAGACTAACCTAAAAATTCCTACAATGATTAACTGAAATAAAGCATCAAGTAATGACTTAATCAGCACTGGGACTATTATTAGCTTTCTCTGGTGCCCAAATATCTACATGGAAGAGTTAGATGCTTAGTATTTAAATTGTTTTTATGTCTACTGGTAAACAAAATAAAACAACTATAGCAGCAAATTGTCTTACTCTTTATTACCAAACTCTAGGTGTGGCTCAGTATAGATACTCAAGAAATATTGCTGATTGAGTAAATAAAAATAAATAAATAAATAAACGTTTAGACAACAAAATTAACCCATTCTCCTAATAAAACTTTTTTTTTTTTCAGGTAAGGTGTAGGTTTATTCATCATTCCGGTTGGCACCAGGCCATCTTGGCCCTCCATGCGGTGGGGAAAGGCCTGGGAAAGAGAGCTGGGAGAGCTGGGAAAGAGAGAGAGCTGGGAAAGAAAGAGAAAAGAGCTAGAAAAGAGAGAAAAGAGCTAGAAAAGAGAGTGTCTGGGAAAGGTGGGAAAGAGAGAGCTAGGAAAGAGAAGGGAGCTGGGAAAGAGAAGAGAAGGAAAGAGCTGAGAAAGAGCTAGAAAAGAGCAGAGAGAGCCCTAATAAAACATTTTATAAAACATGACTATATTAAAAATTAGAAAGCGGGGCTGGGAAGGTGGCTCAGTGGTAGAGTGCT